GCTTATTAGATCGGCTGTCAGCAGCCGGGGAGCCAACCGACACCTCAGCCACCACCTCCGTCACCAGGAAGAGGGGGAGGGAGGTTGCGCCACTGCTCCAACTGCTGCCTGCCACTTCAACCAGCACCACTAGGAGGAGGGGGAAGGAGGTCGCCCTCCTCCTCCCGCTGCTTCTTTTCCTCCTCCTCCTCCTCCTCCTCCTCATCCCGCTTCCGGCTCCAACCCTTCCGCCTCCCTCCTTCCGGCCCCCCGGACCCCCGGCCCTCCCTTCTCCCTTCACCATCAGTGGTGGCCGTCGTCAATTTGCGACGAGCGAGGGGTGAAGGGAGATGGAGAAGGCCCTCTCAGAAGGCGGTGGGACTTCTCAGAAGCCCTCGCGCCTTCCGCAAAGCTTCCTGCGTCTTCGGGGAAGGCTCAGACATCTTCTCAGAAGGCTGGGGGACCTCGGCGCCTTCTGAGAAGGTCCGCCCCGTCTCACCTCCCCCCCGGGCTCGCCGCCGAGTCAAACCTTGACACATCCTCAACAACAAAGGCTAGTACATGCGGTGCCGCAGCAACACCGCTCTGAGGCAGCGCTGGCGCCCTGGCTCGCGTCGGGATGCCGCCCCCCTGCCCCGATGAATGGTGGCATTCTGCAGCCGCCCGTGAGGTGCAGAGCTCATCTCGGGGGTGGGCGGGTCGAGGGGTCTCACTTAGAGGGCCAAACATCTAACCCCTTTATTACCACCCCGACAAGCGAGAGGCCGTTTAGTAAACGCACCCAAAGAAGGAATCGAACAGGGCAGGGCTTTTAGTAAACGCCAAGGGCACTTTCGTAAACGCCAATTGTCTGGTCCGGGTGTGTTCTTCCTACCTTGATCACTGTGCGAAGGTTCATCATGCGCTGGGTGTTTGCAATTGCAGACCGTGCGGGTTAAACGTGTGTCGCTCTTGTCGGGCCATGGGAAGAGCGCGCTTGTCCGAACGCCAGTTCCAACGCTTGGCGAGATGATCTGAATCGACTTGAGCGTGGTATCCTGCCGATGTCGAAGCAGTACTGTCTCCGTGTTGCGTCACAACCGCTTCGAATCCAAATCCAAACCTCCATGCTTCCTTCCAGCGCGCCACCCTTCCCCATCCTTCTCCCACCCCCTCCCCCCAGCTCCAAGACCCCGACTCCCCCTCGCAAGACCCCCCTGCCCACCCGCCCCTTCCTCCCACAGCTATACGATATGAGTACCACTCTCCTCCCTCCGAAGACTACTGAGGAGTAGCCCGCCCCCTCCTCGTACTGATTCTTCTTTACGTACAGGGTTTTAGTTTGTGGTCGTCCCTATGGGTTCATCGGAACGTCTTCGGTGATTCAACATGCTGCTGCCTCTGCAGCGTCGGCCTAGTCTTCAGATCGGCGCTTCGTTGCCTCAGCGCGGGCCACTTTTCTGGATCCGATGCCCTCCTCCTTGTTGTCGTCCCCCTCCTTTCCACTCCTCCGCCTTCCCCTGGTCCTCCTGCTCCTCCCGCTCTTTCCAGACCAGGTGCCGCTGCTGCTGTTCGTCCTCGTCGTCCTTCCGTATCCTCCTTCTTTTCATCCTGGTTATCCGCGACCTCCTTCTCCTCCTCCGGAGTACCCAACTCCCCTTGTCCGATTGCACATCTCACGGTGGGGTCCTTTTGGGAGCTCCGGTTCCGCTGCGACACGCGCCCGCGGACAGAGCAAAAACAGCGCAATGGGAAGGAATGGGTGGGAGGGGTGGGATGTCAGATATGGCACCAGCGCACCCAGCTTGTCTCCCTCCCCTCCCTTCGGGGTTCCAGGTCCGCGATGGTGCCCGTCGGCGGATAGAGAAACAACAGCGCCGTCGGAGCGGATCGGCGGGAGGTGCAAGCCGTCGGAAATAGCGCGGGCGCGCGTGCACTGGCTTGCCCTCTCCCCCTCTCCGTGCCCCCTCCCCCCCTCCCCCTTCCCTCCCTCCCTCTCTCCTCCTAGGCTCCGCCTCCCTCCTGCCCGCCCACCCTACCCCTCTCCTGCCCACCCCCTCCCCCTCCCCCCCTTCTCTCCCCACATCCCCCCCCTCCCTGCCACCTCCCCTCCCCCCTGAGATCCGACGCTGCTAACAAAAACGCAATATCGCGAACAATCCCGACAGGAGCCCCAGACCCCATCTCTGAGCGGCATGCTCGCGGGCTGGATCGAACCCCGTGATGGCCCCAATGCCCCAAGGCGGGCGAAAACGCTCGGTGGGAACAAAAAGCGGCACCTGGATCTCGAGGTCCCTCCCTCCCCAGACCCCCGACGTCATGTTTATTATCATACCTTCGACCCTCGGAGGTCTCGACCCCTTCCCTGGGCCGGGATCGGTATTCCTCCTCCTCCTCTTCCTCCTCCTCCTCCTCCTCCTCCCCCTCCTCCTCCTCCTCCTCCTCCTCCTCCTCCTCCTCCTCCTCCTCCTCCTCCTCTTCTGCCTTCTGGGCCTCTCTCTCCTCGGAGGCCCCGCCGCCGCCGAGGCCGTTTTGAGCAGAGCCTGTGGTCGTGCGCCGCCCGCCCACAGGGCGCGGGCAGGCCGCGAAGCGGAGCGGATCGGCCACGGAGGTCGACTTCGCCTTGCCGGCGAGGTCGCCGAGGCTGACGTCCTCGGGCGGCGCAGCCCGCGGCCCGTCGGCGCCCCGCGGGGGGGGCCCTCGGGCGGCCCGTCGGGTGAGGCCCCCAATCGAAGGCCCCGCGGAGGCCTGGGGCAGCCTCGGAGGCCCCATCGGGCGCGGCCTCGCGAACGAGACGCGCAGCGGCCTTCGGAGGCATCCGGAGGCCCTGGGAGGCCTTCGCTTGGAGATCGGAGCCTGTTATGCTACTGGCGCCTCGGGTGCAGCTGGTTCTAAGCTGCTTACAGCAAGGCGTAACTGTCGCTCGTGTTCTAAATGTGTGCAGCTGTGCTTAAGTGCTGATATGTATGGCTCTTGAGGTGCAAGTCGACTTGTGCTACTAGGAAGTTGTTCGAACACGAGCGGGGTCGGTTGCATAGAATCTGGGTAGGCCCCTTATCCGAAGTTAGGTACCATTGCTTAGCATTGCTTCTAAGAAATGTATACATTGCTTGCAAACTCCCTTCGTCCCTCTCTCCTCTCTCCATTCCCCTCCGCCGCGGAAGAAAAGGACGAGGGGGGGGAAGCAGGCTGCGATCGGAGGAGGAGAGAGTGGGGAGGTAGTGATGGCGGTCGCCAGGAGGAGGAGAAGGAGAAGGAGTTGGAGGATATGGAGAATGAGAAGGAGGAGGAGGAGGACGGGGAATGCAATTCCCAACCATCCTGTGGTGTTGGGTCCTCGATTTGAAGTGACAACGCCCCGTGTCTCTTTTCCTCCCGCTCCCCTTCCCCTCCACCCCCCCCATCGTCATCGTCAACATCCTCATTCCCAACCATCCTGTGGTGTTGGGTCCTCGTCTTTGAAGAGACAGCGCCCCGCGTCCCTCCTCTCCTCCTCTCCAACTGCCGTCATCACCTTGATCATCGTCACCACCGAAGTTCGTCATCATCAACCTGATCGTCATTATTAGACTCATCGTCAGCATCATCATCGGCATCAGCGTCAGCATCAGCATCATCATCATCATCATCATCATCATCATCATCATCATCATCATCATCATCATCATCATCATCACCATCAGCAGCAGCAGCATCATCATGCTGATCATCCTCGTCACCTTCGTCAACACCATCATCACCATCAATGTCACCATCGCCATCATCATCATCATCATCATCATCATCATCATCATCATCATCAACATCAGCAGCATCAGCAGCATCATCATCAGCATCGTCATCATCATCATCATCATCATCGTCGTCGTCTCCATCGTCAGCATCATCGTCATCGTCATCGTAATCACTATCATATTCCCAACCTTCCTGTTCAGTCCGCTCACGCGGTTCGTGGCCCCGTAGAGAGCTAAACCGAAAACTCCATGGGCAGGGTACACGTGCGTCACCGCCACCAATTTCGGCACACCCCTCACACAGTTCGTGGCCCCATAGGGAGCTCCACCGACGGCCCCAGAGGCTGGGTTCACATTGGATTGGCCCGAAAAGTGCCAATATGAGTGCTGTGCGCGGTGGCGGCTACGAACACAGTGTCATGGTCATGTCCTTGTCCCCGACACCGCACCGCTGTCCTCGTCGTCGGGGAGACATTCGCACCCAGTCGGGTCAGCACAGCTGTCCTCCACCAGCGCCACAGACGAAGCAGCTCCGGCCACCCGATTCGAGAACTCGTGGAGCAGAGAGGCCAGCGCAGAGCCCAGGTGTCGCTGACACTAGAAGGAGAAGAAACGCCACTGTGAGACACACTGACGCTGGGAGAAAAGCGACGCATCGGCGACGTCGGCTGGTAGCTTCTGCAGGTTCTGGGTTCTAGGCGTGCGCGCTCGTTCCTGGCGGCTGTCGTCCCGGGGCCAGCGATGGCGCGCCCTCTCCCTGGAGCCTGGCCGCGAGAGGCCCCAGCGGGGCAGGACAACCCCTGGGGCCCAGGGCGAGCCTGGCCGCCGTGGCCTGCCGAGGTCGGTGAGGCGCAGGGGGGGGGGGCGCCGACAACGACACCGCCGCCGCCGCCGCCGCCGCCGCCGACGACGACGACGACGACGACTACGGCTGTCGGCGACGACGACGACGACGACCGACGACGACGAAGACGACGACCGACGACGACGAAGACGACGATCGACGACGACGACGACGACGACAACAACCGACGACGACGACGACGACGACGACGGACGACGACGGACGACGACGACGACGACGACGACGACGACGACGACGACGACGACGACGCCCACCACCACGAGCACCACCACCACCACCACCACGACTGCGGCGGCGGCGGCGGTGGTGCAGTGCGGATGCGGGTGCGTGCTCAGGCAAGGCGGCGCTGACGACGCAGACAAACTCTCGACGACGCCGCCGCCGCTGCCGACGACTGGCTGGATCAGGCAGTGTGGCCCAGGACTTCAGGGGGGGCGGATGGAGGTGGATCGGCCCTTGGCCACACGGCTGACGTCCTCGGAGACCCCGCGACTCGAGGTCGTCGATTCGAGCTTATGGAGGCCATGGGAGAGGGGGCCGGCGACCAGCCAGCTCCGGGCAAGGTCCAGAGCAGCCAGGGTCCGCGGACCAAAGGGCCGCCTGGATTACGAGCGAGGCCTGTCTGGCAAAGGAGTCCAGGGCGTCAACTGTGATGGACGAACCGCATGTCGCTGGCCAGCCGGAACGTCGTAACAACGAGCAGCCGTCTCAGAAATGCTGTCGAAAATCGCAAGCCGAATGAGGATGGTCCAGGAGTCCAGGGCAGGATGGTGGCGGACCCCGCGGAACACCGAAGATTTGTTGTCATCGTTTGTATAACAGAACTCAATGGAGCACACGTTCAAGTTAGTGCAGGACCTCCTTGAAGATGATAACAAGGATCACTACAAGCAGTCGCGGCATCCTCGCGGGAGGTGCACTCCCTGTCTGGGCTGGCAGGGGTTCGTGCTGCCCCGCGCCCCACTTAATGCCAGACTCAAATGCCATCTCTGTATGCAGTGAGGAAGAAGCAAGCTAATGATCCGCCACCGCACTTGCGCGACGTTGGACTGTGAAAATGGTTGACCTGCATACATATATATATATATATATACGTTCTAGAACCATCGCGCGCGCTTCGCGCGCGCTCAGGTTCTAGCAGGCACCAGGCCTTGACGAATTCACTGCTCCACTGAAGTAGTGGACCACAGTACACGCATGCAAATCTGCCCGAACGGCCTTCGAGGAAAATTGTTGTGTAGGGGGGCGGAGGCCGTATGAATCGGGTTCCCAGAAGGCCGTCTGGGAGCATGGGTTTGGGGGCGTCTTGGGGAGCCTGTTTGGGCGTGCCGTCGTTGTCGTCGTCGTCGTAATGTCGTCGTCGCCTATTGGGGCGCGCCGTCGTCGTCGTCGTCGTCGTCGTCGTCGTCGTCGTCGTCGTCGTCGTCGTCGTCGTCGTCGTCGTCATCGTCGTCGTCGTCGTCGTCGTCGTCGTCGTCGTCGTCGTCGTCGTCGTCGTCGTCGTCTTCGTCGTTTCGTCGTCGTCGGTTCACGATGGCACTTGGGGCAACTTTGTGCGAAACGATCTGCGGAGGGCCGCGAGAAGGCGATCAGTCATGTTCCCATTCAACTTCCCAGACAACTCTCCTGTAGCATGATGCTACTTCGAAGCCTCCGGAGACTCGAGGGCCCATGATGAACCATGTCCCTGGAAGGCTTTCTGGGGACATGGTTTGTTGGGGTGTGTTGGGGGGTCTCTTGGGCGTTCCCTGGGGGCCCCTTGGGGGCCTCCGGGAACTCTCGGGCCCATGATGAACCATCTTCAAGCCATCTCGGGCCCTCTTGGGCCTCGCTGGGGCTGTCCTAGGGCCCCGTAGTGGGCCCTGGGAGCCAGGAAATCATGTTCCCGGAGAGGCTTCCCGGAACATGATTTCGAATGAGGCCCTCTTGGGCCTCCCTGGGGCCGTCTTGGGGGCCTCCTGGGCCGGCTTCGGGGCCTCTTGGGCGGTCTTGGGGGTTGCCGTCAGCCCCACGGGACGATCTTTTTGGGCCGTCTTGGGCCCTCTTGGGTCTCTCCTGGGCTGTCTTGGGGCTCCTCGGGGGCGTCTGGGGCACTGCGAAGACAAAGCCAGCGACAATGCTGAAAATGCACGTTTTACAAAAGAAATGGGCCGATGATTGCCTCTTGAAGGCCCTCTCGGGGCCCTCTTCGGCCATCTTGAAGCCATCTCGGGCCCTCTGGGGCCTCGCTGAGGCTGTCTTGTGGGCCTCTTGGGCGTCCTTGGAAACCAGAAATCATGTTCCCAGAAAGGCTTCCGGGAACATGATTTCGAACGAGGCCCTCTCGGGCCTCCCTGAGGCCGTCTTGGGCACCTCCTGGGCCGGCTTTGAGGCCTCTTGGGGCCGTCTCGGGGGGTTCCGTGAGGCCCACAGGACGACCCTTTTGGGCCGTCTTGGGCCCTCTTGGGTCTCTCTTGAGCTGTCTTGGGGCTCCGAGGGGGCGTCTGGGGCACTCTGAAGACGAAGCCAGCGAGTATGCTGAACATGTACGTTTTACAAAAAGGAAATGAGCCGATGTTTGCCTCTTGGTGCCTCTTGGGGCCCTCACGGGCCCTCTTGGGGCGCTCTTGGGCGTCTTCGGGGCCTCTTCAGGCTTTCTTGACCATCTGTACGGCCCGCGTGGCCTGTCGTGGGCAATTTGGAAGCGGCCCTGGGCAGTCCCGGGGGGTCTGCGACCCCTCAAAGGTTCGGGGGGGCGGCCTGGGGGATGACGGCACCAATGTTGTCCCCTCCCCCCCCCCGGCCTCCTCGTGTGTATATATATATATATATATATATGTATGTATGTATGTATGTATGTATGTATGTATGTATGTAAGTATGTATGTATATATGTATGTATGTAGGTAGGTAGGTAGGTAGGTAGGTATGTATGTATGTATGTATGTATGTATGTATGTATGTATGTATGTATGTATGTATGTATGTATGTATGTATGTATGTGTATATATAGACGTATATATTTGTATGTGTATATATATATACATATATATATATATATATATATATATCGATTCCTGGCGCCCATGTCAGCCTCTAGAACGCCACAAGGCAGCATAACAGTTCGCTTGAGGCTTCAAGATGTCCCCCAGCTGCCCCCAAGCGACGTCCAAAGAAGGTTCCAGCGAGGCCTGGGGAGGTCACACGAACCCCCCGATAGGCCCACACGCCGCCCTGAGCAAGAAGAGAAGACTCCAAGATGCATGACGAGGGGGGGGGAACAAGGCGGTGGCCAAGGAGGGTACGTTCAGGTCCCGCGCTAGTTCAGAGAGAACGCTAAACTGGAACATGTCCTGAACTCAGCCTCCTTCCTGTTGCGCTGCTGCGCTTGATCAGTGGCGGCTTACTTCAGGCAGCTGGACACCTTCTTTGCCTGTCACTCAGCATCTGTAGGAGGCACGCCTGAAGCGTTCCACAGCGAGCGCTGCTTTGTAAACAGATCGGACATGGACTCGATCACCCCGATCGCCCCGATCCATCCGAGTCCCAACCTGGTTCGTCGCGATCTGCCCGAAACGCGCCATCCCCTAGCGTGGTACGACCAGTTGGTCGATCGAGCGACAGCACCAAAACCTCATTACCGATCGCCCCGAAACCACTCGAGAATCGATGGGTAAGCGACCCACGACCCAAAATCGAACCCCGATCGATAGCCCTGCCCACCCGCTGGCATTCACCGTGCCACGGCATGGATGAACACGCTATGGGTGTGAGCTCTTTGCGGGGATCGGACCGACTTGCCGCAGAAGCACCTGCGACATGAGCATGGGCCACCAGCCCCAGCGGCGTCCCCACTGCGAGGCCCTGCCAGCCGACCCTGGAGCCCGGCCGACGCTCCTATACTGGATAAGGGCGGCCGCCGAGGTCCCGAGGCCAGAGCTCTCCCAGGCAACAGGCCACGGCAGAGAGCGCCGCCACAGCAGCCAGCGGCCTGGCCCCTGGCCGGCCCAAGGCGGCCAAGAGAGGCCAGACGAGAATAGCTGCAAAGGCTGTGATGGTGCTGACGAGGATCTGCGGCACCAGCGTGGGCGTGCTGCTCCGCATCCTGCTCATGCTGTCCATGAAATTCGCCGGCCCAACGGGCCAGAGGCGTGCTAAGATCTCCGGTAACTTGTTAACAATATTTCTAGTTCGCGCGCGCGGAGCGGCCCCTGGGGGCCCCCGGACGAAAAATACCCCGGCAAGGTCCCGAGAGAAGCCCGGGAGAAGCCACCAGACCACTCCAGGGGAGGGCATTTTTCGACACCCCTCACGAGGATCGTGGCCTCCGAGGGGGGAGCCGCAATCGACTACCCCCCAGAGCCCCCCAAGAGGCCCTGGGGGCCTCCAAAACGCCGCCAAGGAGCCCCAAGAGACTCCCAAGAGGTCCCCAAGAGGCCCACAAGAGGCCCTAAAGAGGGCTCCAGGGCCGGCGGCATGAGCGAAGCGATTAAATAAAGGAACCCTGGGACCCAGGACAGTAGATTGTCGAGTGCGAGTGTCATGGCGAAGGCAACACAGATGTGGTGGCAGAGGGGGGTTGCAAGAAACTTACTTGACGCGCCAGCATGTCGCACGAGAGCTGGAATCAGCAGCCAAACAGTCGACGCGCACATGTCGGGGATCAGCAACACGACGATGAAGTTGAGCAGAATCGCCAACACCGTGCAGCCTCCCGCGCATGCTGTGACATCCAAACTGCGGACCTGGAGGGCCAAGGCAAGGGTAGCCAACGTCCAGGCACTCGGGTGCCAAACCCGGAAAGCATTACTCTTCCCTTGCCACACCCGGATATCCTGGGTCCCGATGAGAAGTTCGGCTGTACTCACCTGGAGGGTCAGACCCGCCACGAGAAAGAGGCAGAACCATCCGGCCTCCTGAACGCACGCGCTGACAGAACCGCGCCGCGGCACGATTAACGAAACTGCGGCAATGCCTGCCAGCGCTAGTACTATGGCGGCGACACTTGAAACAGAAGAACACCAAACAAAACAACGCAGTATGGTAAAATAAATCTGCCCAGAAACGATCGGGGCGGAGACGAGGTCATACGTGTGATTAGCGAGCCGCATTGGCAGAGGTAGCTCGGCAGCTCTGCGAAGCATAGCCACTACATTGTCGCCCGCGTGCTGCAGAGCCCCGTCGGCCACGTTTTCGATGGAGTCGTCACGCGTATGGTAAACGTAACGATGCTCGATGAATACGAAATCCGCAACGTGCGCGCCTTCGTAGACGTAGTTCTCCACGTCTGTGCAGCCTCCCCCGAAAATGCCAAACAGCGTCTCGCTGATGGAAAATGCCGCGGGATGCATCGCATGTCGCGCATAAAGGCTTGCAATCCATTTGCTGTTGGTGCGGACAAGATATTCCTGCGTTGCTGCCCCAGAGCCCTCCAAGTTGAAGACGACTCGCAAACGATTGCCATACGCGCCTTCCATGAAAAATGCACTGCCGTACAGGCCATCCTCTTCGGCATCGACCAAGCCGCGAGACCCGATGTGGGACAACCAGGCTGCGAAGCCCAAGTGCACTAACACGTACTCTGCGCACTTCTCAAAGCCGCATGCCCGCGGGCCATGACTGCATATCGGACGCGGTGGGGGGGGTGCAGTTGGCAAAGCCTTGCAGACATGAACGCCACGTCGCACGCCGATTGCCTTGCGATAACCTCTTGCGAGAAAACTCGAAATGCCTCTACCACTACTGCAGCGCCCACGCCATCGTCTGTAGCTCCGGGGCCTGCGGGTACAGAGTCAAAATGCGCAGAAACTGCAACCAGCGGATTGCTCACACTTTCGCCGCCTGTGCTCCGCACAATACCAATTATGTTAGTTGCCTTCCCAGGCCGATACCGAAGCGGGAACTGCTGAACCTCAACGAATACCCTTTGGGGGAGAGCGGCCTCTGCTGCAATCGCTCGCATCTCTTTCTCCAGATGATGCGCCACGGCATCATCCTCGACGGTGGAAGCAGCATGTGGCTTCGCGGCGATATTCTGCAAAATGTACTTCGCACGCGATTCATGGAAGCCGGGGCCAGAATCTCGAGCCCTCGGCAACGCCCTGTGAACTTCAAGGACGAAGGCAAGTGGCAAAAGGACAGTCACGCTAACCATCGCAAGACGGAAGCTAACAGTGTGGTGCAGAGAGCCAGTTGACGCCAAAGAACTGGGCGTAGTCTCATCTGTAACAGGGTTTGCGACCTCGGCAAGCTCCACTTCTCTAAAGGGTGCAGCCTGGCTCATGGCGGCAATGCGCCTACGCCGATCGGCTTGAAGCAAAACTGCTTGAGCCCGAATTGCTGTTGACGGATATGATGGGCACGAAGAGCAGGAGGAGCGGCTGTTCCGCATGAGGGTGAAAATCAGGATCGGGAAGAAGAAACAAATCACGTCAACCTGACCCAACGGCATACCGACACAACGGCAAGCACCTGCAGCATTGAACATCAAGAGGAATATGGCGGGCAACGGACCGGCTTCATGTCGCGTCAGGTTGAGCACGTCCGAGTGCAAGCAAGTTAACAATAACTCGAGGTCAGAATTGCGCAGGGAATGACCCATCACGGCACGCATAGCGTCCAAAGACAACTCGACAGGCAATGAACATCAGTGAGATGGCCAAGCGGGAAGTGGATCTTCTCCTCGACGAATATTAAAATTAGAGCTAAGCGTATCGTTGCTGAAATCACGAGCTAGCCCAACTCTGCCGCTGAGTCCGTCACGCTTGATATAGTGGGGGCGCGTGGCAATCCGAACCAGAAGTTATCAAAGAGAAGGTAGGACACCTCCTCTAGGCCGTCGCAAGCGCAACATTGGTCGTTCTGGAAATATGTTCTGGAGGAGATCACTGATTACCTTGACTACCTACCAATCACCTCCCAGGCCAGCGAAGCTACACCCGGATGAATACTCCCAGCTCGCTCCGCCGTCCACGCGGTAATATGCCCTTCGCTGAGCCCTTGTTGCACATCAGTGGGATGGGTGCAGGTACACGCTGCGCCAGGGGGGGTCCACCATGTGCCACCGCTGAAGCATTCCGTGGGAGACCAGCTGTCGTGGAAACACTCCAGCATGAGAAGGGCAGGCGAAAGGCCAGGTAAGGCGGTCTGCGTGCCTCCTCCAGTGCGGGAGCGGCCCCCTGGATGGCAAACGAACAGTCCATCGCGGGGTCGGCCAAACTCCGTGCGATTCACTCAAGGGCATGGCCCTGGCTTGCGGGAGTACGGGACCAATGGGAGGGAATCGCGTCCCTCATGCTTGGCGTCTTCAGCTGCAGGCTCGTCGGCTTCACCGCCTTAGGCTGACCAGCGATCAAGAAGCCAGGGCCTCCGTCCGCACCTGGGCCTGCCAGTCCAAGCAGTGCCGTGGCCTGCCCATGCTACGACGGTGGCCTCTTTTTCGGCTTTGAAAGCAGCGCCGCCGCCCGCATGCCTGTCACACCCATGGTCCATGAGCGTGCGGGCATGCTCTGTCACATCGGGAACCGTCGTGGCCAGATGAGACGCCCGTGGGCGGCGGCCACGCAGGACTTCAGGCAGCCGCCCACGAGCGTGATCCTCCCTCGCGCCCAGGTCCACGCCAGGTGTTACGCGCGCTTGCCCTGCTGGTCTTCGGCGCGCGCCAGCTGTGCCACCCAAACCCCGACTTCGTGATTTTTTCCGGACGTGACCCCAAGCGAGCATGGACCCATTCCCGGGGACCGGTTTTTCATCCTGGGTCGTTTTTTGGCAGTTCCGAGGCCCGGCGAGGGCCCCCGGAAGCCGAAAATAGCGAAAAACCGTATGTCGCGATTTTGTTCACAGCGCGAGGGGGTCTGGGCACCATGGTCCGCTGCGCCACTCGTCGACAAGGAACTCTGCTACACGACAAATAAAGCCACACGCTCGTCGTCGAGCACTCACTTTTCCCTGAAACCTTCCAAAGCTCCAGTGGGCCCTCGGGAGGTAAGAGAAACTTCCGCGTGGCACATCTGCTGGCAGGCCAATTTCTGATTCGACTTGCCTACCGTAGTCATCCTCCCCCCCCTATGCGATGAGGCTCCTAGAATCGTCCCCCGATTACTCCAGCGAGCCGCAGTGTGCTCGGACTGGTCAAAGATCCTTGTGACGTGCCCGCCTGCACGGCCCCCAACGTGCTGCCCAGACCCCCGACGTCATGATCTTTGCCATGACGTCGACCTCCAGAGGTCTCGACCCATTCCCTGGTGGGCAATTAGCCCGCCTGCACGGCCCCCGCCGAGCTCCGCAGCTGCTCGTGGAGCAGCGGCACCGCGACCAGCATCCATCCACCGCTTCTCCCTTCCACTGGCGCCGCCCCGTGCTCCGCTTGGCCCGCGCTGCTGCTACAGCGCAGCGGCTCGTGCAGCTTCTGGCGGTGCGCATGCCGCTCGCCTCGTTCTCTGCACGACGACGTCGACGCGCAGGTGCGGAGCCCGCTCCCGGGCCGCTCCTGCACATGAGACGCCAGCTTCAAGGCGGGCCACTCGCGCACCGCACTCCCCTTTTGTTTTTCCGCTGCGCACAGCTGCTCGCGAACGTCAAGCGTGACGTGGAGGAACTGGAGGAAGCGAGGCTGCTGGCTGGCGACTTTGCACATGTCCAAGTTTCAAGTGTCAACAAGAGAGGGCGGCCGCGGGGCGCGTGAGGGCACTCTGCTCCCATCGGCGTCTTAACATTCGAGGGCCCCGCCCCCCTCCCGACGATCGAATCGGAAACACGTTGATCGCTGCACGAGGTAGAGAGACCCACGGTCAGGACGACGAGGACGAGGGAGACGAGGGAGAGTCCGCGCGCAGGGTCCTTGGCCTCCTTGGCCTTGTCTAACACCTGCTTGGCCTTGTCAAGAGCAGAATCTGGATCGGTCATCTGGGGGCGCCGCCAGCCGCACACAGCGCCCCTTCACCCCCCACCTCCCGCGACCCCCTGCTCGCTCGTTCCGTTGTTCTTTCTCTCCCTTCCCCGCGCGCTCCCCCTCCTTCCGCCCTCTCCGCTCTTCCATCCCATCCGGCCCCCGTTCCTCCTCTTGGAGCTCAACGCTGTGAAGGCCCAGTTGTCATCTTCATCTTGGGGCGTATGACCCCCGGCAGGCGACACCGGAAGGCGACCGGCGGAGCCAAACCAAATACTCTCTGCGGGGCTGCCGTAGCGCTGGCGGCTCTCGCCTCCTTCCTGTCTGGAAGAAGGAGATGCTAGCAATCGAGGGGCCCAGAAAGAAAAAGTCTGACAGCGTGGATGTGCAAGCTACGTGGCGGGAGCTACGTGGTGGAATATGCGCGGTGCGAGCCATGTGGCGCGAGCTACGACATGCGATGTAAGCTATGTGACGATATCTGCATGATGCAGGCTATGTGGCGCAAGCCAGCCATGCGGAACAAACCACGTGGAGCAAATACGTATGAAGAACTTGGAATTGTCAGCTCAACTGCTCGAGCAATCATCCCACCCTCCCAACCTCAGCATGAAATGCAAAACCATGCGGCGGATCCTGGAAACCCTAAACCCAAAAATGATGTCATTTCTTGTAGGCGCATTGTTTACTTCCGCCACCTTCTGCCGAACCTCCGCCGGTTTCCGCCGGCGGAGGCAGCCTCGTTTGACTTCCGCCGTCCTTCCGAAACCCTTCAGCCGCCTTCCGCAGCGGAAGAGATGACAACTCCTTCGACCCTCGAAGCCAGGGCCCTTTCGGGAACGCCGCATGTTGCGGCGGCGATTGCATCGACTGCTTGGCCATTGCTTGCACATCTCTGCAGCCGCGCTGACGCTCACAAACTCACGCGCAAAGCGGCCAGCGGGTTTGGCATAGCCGATGATGTCGCGATGGCTCTTTTCGGTGGAAGCTTTCCAGCGCGTGTCAAAAGCCGCGCTGGCGCGCGGACACTTCTTGAGTCTGTCGCGGGCGGCTGGATCTGGAGGAGGGCCTGGACGTCACGACGGATGGCCACGTCAGAATGAAGGGGGGGCCAAACGGTTATTCACTGTCCCTGGGCTCGTCGCTGAAGTGAGATTCTGCGGTGCGGATTGTTGAGCTCTCGCTTTGAAAGAATAATTATTGTTGATCCCCCCACTGGTGCATACTGATTTTTCTCAATCAAAATGTGCCCCTCGACGCTCGCACCTTGTTTTTCGACAGGGAAAGCCTTGATGCTCAAACTGGGCCCCCTGGCCCCCAGGTTACAACAACAACGGCTCCCGCTTCAGACTTCCTTACAATTTCGGCAAGACCCCCGCTCCCGCCCGAGACTTCCTTGCATTTTAATCAGGAGCCGCGCCTTCGCGTAGGACTTCCTTAGCATTTATTCAGGAATCGCTCTCCCGGCGCTCTGGAGTCGCGCTCTCGCTTGAGACTTGCTTGCAATTTACTGAAGATTAGCGCCTTTGCGTTGGAATTTCCTGCAATTTGCTCAAGCGCCGCGCTCCCGACACCCAGGCACCCACGGTTCGCGCCCGTTGTGGCCCCATGTGCATGCCCTTCGTGGCCCCACTGTAGCCCTTGGTGGCCCCCTCAATATCCTACGTGGCCCAGTTGCTACCCTCAGTGGCCCCATCGTTGCCTTCTGTGGCCCCACATTATCTGCCCATCGTGGCCCCCGCTCGTTCGCGCTCTTCGTGGCTCAATACGCATTCCCTTCGTGTCCCCGCTGTCGCCCTTCGTTGCCTACTTCGTGTCCTTCTTGGCCCTGCTGTCGTTCTCTCTCGCTCTCGCTTTCGCTCGTCGTCGCCGTCGTCGTCGTCGCCGTCGTCGTCGACGTCGTCATCGTCGTCGTGATCGGTCCCCTGTCCGTCCCTCTTGGGGTCGGGTCGACGGTCCGCGGCCGCCCCGCCGATCAGCGCTGCCGCTGGCAAGGCCGACGGTCCGCGGCCGCCCCGCCGCTTGACGGGGCCCGGCCTGCAGGGAAGAAAGGTATACCGCCCAAAATGGGTTCGATCGAAGATGAAGAGGGCGGGTATCGAGGGTTTGGGAAATACGCGTTATTGGACACTCGAGCAGGCAAGGGCGAACAATCCTAAAATGATTGTTGCTGTTGTTGTTGCTGTTTGTTATCGTCGTCCCCCCCGCGACCCGGCCCGCGACTCACCCGCGACCCACCCCGCGACCCACCCGCGACCCACCCCGCGACCAACCCGCGACCCACCCGCGACCCACCTCGCGACCCGCCCGCGACCCACGCGAGAGGGAGGAGGGATGGGAGGGGGAGTTCAGGCGTACAGGGGGAGGGGACGGGAGCAGAGAAGTACGCACTAATTCATAAAGAACCCCGAGGCTAGCCGAAATCCCAGAAATGGCTTGACAGGATGTCCTCTA